ATTCCCTCTTTCCAGTCCAATGATCAGACATGCTTCCATTAGCTTGGTAGAACTTTGCCTTTGTCTGGTTTATTTCCAACTTCTGCATTTATTTTACAGCTAATGGAGTTGATGAAATGGAAGGTTTTCATTTAAAAAAAATAAATCAGTGAAACTAGGAATTCAGAGATAATGGTTGCTAGATGTTGTATAAACACTAAGGCAAAATATCTATATTTATTTTTAAACTGGGAACCACAATTTTAGTGATAAAATTTTGTTTCAGTGGCTTAATTTCAATTATCCCAAGTAAATGACAAAGATTGAATAGCCCTGCCTGATAGTTGCTGGCAAAGCTGAGCAATGTCTACGTACTGTACAGTGTTTAAACATATGTGTTTTGATTGGTTCATGAAAACAAGTGTTGTATGCTAAGACCTTCCATCAATCTGATTGTTTCGTACTAGCTCCATTTGCCTATAATTACAGATCGTTTTTTCTTTTAGCAAATGCAGCAGGTGTTTCTCCTGATAGTTCTGTTAGGCAATACAAAGAAGAATAGAAAATGTAGAAAAGCAATAGTAGGCCAAAATATATAAAGGTAAATCAAAATGGAAATGATCGGCAAGCATGTTAAATATTTTCTGTAAAACCATTAGTGAAACACATTGTTTAAATTTCATCTATAAACAATATGGCCATTTTAATTAAATTCTGTTTTTTACAATTGACAATGAAATATCAGGAATAATAGAGACATACAGATTTGGAAGAAACACACATAATTATTCTCTGGACGTTTACTACTAGGAGTTACAGTAACATAATGTTTGTTCAATTTGGAATGAGAAATAGAGCAGAAGAATTGTGTAGGCTTTTCAGAGAGCCATGAACTAATACAGTGAAAAAGCTTGAATATAAGCAGTGATATAGCGATAGCTGTACTGATTACTTTTTCCTCTTTTTGCATAAGTATAACTTTTAGGCAGCACCAAAAAAGAAATATTTTTTTAGTCCATTGTCAAGAACACATTTCATTGATAATGTGCTTAATATCTAAAAGGGATTGGATTGAAGCTAGCAGTAAACATTTCAGAGTACCCAACTCATCTCTGAGTTCAGTTCAATATGACTGGGAATTAGTTATAGTTATTAGATATTAATTATGTTAAGTAGTTATGACTGATTACTTCTAGTATTGTTTCAATTTAGTAAACATCTGCTATTGAGCAATGGATAGAAATAATGGTTTTATATTTAAATTCATAGAGAGAGAGAGAGCACCTTGCTCTTTACCCCTTTCAGCTTCTTGCGAGGACCAGATTCCTGGACATGATCTGAGAAACAGTTTCCATATTAGTTCAACTGATATTAAAACAGAATAGAAAGAATTTTCCTCTTATAGAAAACATAACCAGGTTCACAAGTTACATTTTTTTGTTACAGATTAGTCAATTCCAACACAATTCAGAAATAGCTTTTGAATTGCTACCATTCACTTAATGTGAGCTGTTGTTGTTGAACTGTTTGCAGATGGATACAGTATTATCTCTGAAAGTCCCACAGCATCTTCTACTGAAAACAAAGAAATCATACAAGACGAGCAGAGCCAAAGTGAAGGAACAGAAAGTCTTGCTGCCAAGGCCAGCCAAAAGAAAGAGATAATAACATGGGTTCACTTAATTCGTTACCACAGTTACTTAAAAAGACTTTATAATACAAACCTTCTATTTGGTAAGATTTTTCTCTTCCTTCTAGAAAATTGCCATAAGTGAGATATTGTTCTTGGCAGCCAACAGTGTCAGATTCTAAGGCTGTCATCTCAAATAGGTTTATTTTGAGTTCATTTAAATTGTATCAATGTGAAAAAATCTTCACTGAAATCAAGATTTATGTTGGCCTGCAAGTGTTGTAAGTGAAGATATTATTACCTTTTTTCATCATTTCATAAGCCTTCATGATACCAGGAAAAGCATGCCTCAAAACTTAATTGCTGTTACTATATCTGAAGCATTTTTTTAAAAAAAAATCATTATCTATATTTGGTTTTAGTTCTAGATACATCAGACTTAAGTCACACCAGAAATAGATCTGTTCAGTTTGGGGGCCTGTTTGTGAGAACTGAGTGTAGCATAAATAGGAAGGCTGAGCATTTCTAAATGTGTTTTGACTAAACCTCTAGATGTTATGCACATACTTGATTTATTTCACTGTAAACAAAAGGTAGTAATAGGTAAGACCTTTCAAACAGAGTAAGTACCCATTAATTTCAGGGCCCTAATAATCTACATCTGATGGCCAGCTGCTGGATATACAAGTGATGACCTGGTAGGTGAGAATAGAACTAGATTGTACATATTGGTGCTGCCTAGAGAGAAATCTAGCAACTCTGAAAATTACAATTTCAGAGATGGTTCGGTTTTTTCCTTGCAGCATCAAATGAAAGGAAAGTATTCTACCTCACTGCAGAACTATAAGGACAGTAAGGTACCTACAAGTAGGTGTCAAAATGTGCATGTATGTCTCAGCTGTAGTTACCAGTGATGGAGCCTAGGGAGCAACTCAGCTGTCTAAATGAGGGTCTTCAGAGCTCTTAGAACTTACTTTCACTGTATTGGATAAATAAGCATGTATTCTAGTGGGTGCTTAGACATCTAGTGAATATCCTGATGCTTACACATCTAAATTTAAGTACCTAGACCTCAAAACTGCACCTCCCATTTTATGCTACTTTATAATGTCTAGACAGAGCTTGTTTCATTATCAGTCTCCAGTGAAAAATTGCAATACAAATAGCATGACCTAATAATACGTAAGGACAATCAGTATAACTGTTGGAAATGCACTTATTTGATATTGAATCAATTTACATACTTTACTATATTTTCAAAATTTGTGTATACTGAGTAGCTGTAGAAACTTTACTTTTTTTGTGGCAAATGATGATGTAACAAAAATCTCTTTTCAAAGCTGCCTCTAACTCAGGACCTGGATCATTTTCTGCGAGAGATGGACACTTTAGTTCTGTTTTTGACACAGGGATTGTTCTACGCATAGCAGAAATGCATTCCTTTCTTAAAAAACATTTGTTTGAATATTCAGTGTGTTGTCTTGAGAATTTCCCAGAAGAGCTACATGATGTAGAATTGCCACTTGGTAGGCCAGCTGATTCTTCAAAGGTAATTATTCTCTTTGTGATATTTCAAAAATATGTATTATATTTGCATTTCACTCATATTCTTGCTAGTTCCAATGGTGATATTTCTGAGAACACTATAGAATAATGGAATTTATTATGCAGAAGATCAGTGTAAAACCAAAATCCCATGCAAACACTGAAGGACATAGTTAACAAATGCAAATATCCTTGTGTTCATTCCTGCAAAAATGATCTCTATCACATGCCTACTGTATTTAGACCGTAGAAGATTAAGCAGAATGATATTTAAGAAGATTTCATTATCAGTTAATTAAGTTGGCTGTGTTATTTGATAGGACTGAGGCTTTTAATCTTGTAGATCTCCATGTTTTGTACCACAAGTGTCCTGTTGTTTGCTTTCTAATTTGTATATACAAGCCTCTATATTAATTTGGTCTACAATAAAAACATGACTTTCAAAAAAACCTTATATTTTCTCAAAATTTGTTGAAGGCCTTGTGTGCCAGTTTTGTTCACTGATTATCAACTGGCTAGAAAATAAATATTTTCAGATCTCTGGCTTGTGAACAACCTATTTGAGGTTTCAAATACAGAAGGCTCAGACTGTATTACTCAGAGAACTCCTGAACTGGAATTCTGGAGTCTATGCTGACCATGGCATATGTGTTGAATATTGAGTAGTAATACTCTTTGAAGATTCAATGTAAAAATAATTCTTCAAAATTTCTCCATCCCACTTCTCACATGAATAATTATCCTACTACTAAAAAATTAAAATGACAGGTTACTCTCTACGGTTTATTTTTTACCCGTTATGTTCAGTATTAGATGGAGACAGGGGAGCCTTGAGGAGTGAGAACTTTTTATCTTATAAAAATGAATTAAAATACTTTTGTGAAAGTAGCTCTTCTAGAGTTGGTGAACTTTCTGCATTGTTGGACAGCATATCATTACTCATTTCCCGACAAAGAGCTGACTGTGCCACTGAATAAATTGTAAATATATGGTATGTGACATTTATAACAGCCATCGTATATCAAAAATTATTTTACTCTGTCTGCTCTTCTTTTGACATAATTAGTATTACACTGTCCTAGAATAATAAGCTTCAGAGCTCACTGTCATGTTCGTGACAGGTGCAAGCTGCATAATCATGTGTTAGCTTCACTGTTGTAGACAGCTAACAAGCATAAAGCTCTTACTTTTTTAAAATCTAAGCTTCATTGATTTTATCACAACATTTTTAGAAGCTTTAACTATTCAGAAGGCTGTATAAATTATTTTTTTAAATGTTACTGTAATTTGATACTGGGATTTTTAACAGTACAAATAGATATAATTTTTGAAAGAATGATTTTTATGTACAAGGTTATTTCACTTACATGTGTCTTTGTAATTCTGGTTTTGATTCTTCAAGTTTTTTTCAGCTCTGCTGAACAAAGCATCCAAATTACATTAAGAAGGCTATAATTAAAATTATGTGGCCTGTTACATTTTGCATGCTTGTTTTCCATTCCACCCCATGGTAGTATGTACGACTGGAAACACTTAACTAAGACTGTTTGTTGTTTTTGAGGCTTTTGAGTAAGTTGTATAGATAAATAAATATGTATGTAATTCAGCAACCCTCCAGTTTGACAAGACCAGTTGTAGTATCCTTCCCCAAAAAGATTCAATATGATGTAAATAACAAAATATGCAGGTCAGTGAAAATGAAAACATGCCACACATTTTAGAAAGACGTATCTGTCATAAAATTGACTTTTAAGAGCTCTAAGTAAGGGACATGGCATAAAGTAGGTTCTTCCCACCTCCATATATGTGTTTTCTCATAATGTTGTTTACTCTTCATGCTAGCAGTATAGTGGGTGATTCATTGCCAAAACTAAAGTCTAAGATCCTGAACGCAGAACCTTGCAGTAGGTGGGTGATCCATGCACAGATCATGGCACATCATGGATTATGGCCACTGTTATCACTGCCTTAGTGTTTAGAGTCCATGTGGCATGGATCATCCCCAGTTAATTGTCTCATGCCATCCTGAAGGCATAGCCATATGCTCAAATGCATGACTTCATCTTTATCTTCACTTCTGCTGTATTTTGATGTGGGATGGCAACTGGCTTTATGAAGTAAGATTACATTACTGTGAAAAAATCCATCATCTGCTCACCTGGATTTACTGCCCGGTATTGGTCATGAGCTGTATTTTCTGAAAATAAAGTGGGTAAAGTTCTCCAGGTATTTTCAGTAACAAACATTCAAAATTAAAAAAGAACAAACTCCCCAGGCAGCTGTTTTCAGTGTCCACACTTTTCAGTCATTGATGGAGACACTAACAACCTTTTCAAATAGCTTCAGCATTCCCCCAAAATGTCACTGTGTGGCCTCCTCTATTCTTTGCTGATCTGCATAACACCTCAAAATTAGAAACATTATGGTGCTGAACAGCCTTTAAATCAAATATTTTACAATTTTAAGGCTTTTATTCATGGATGAATGTTGGTTGGCAGTATTCCTCCATTGCTTCCCTAGTAAAAGATGGCCAAACAGTAACAATTTCATGAATAGCCTGCTAATGTTCCAGATATATTTTAGTAAATATGAGATATGACAAATCCTCACAAACAAAGTGACTGATTTTTCAGTATATATCACCCTTTGTTAGTTGCAGAGCTAATATGAAAACAAATAGGTAAAGGTAGATAAAGCATTAGTCTAGCATTCAGATTACTATTTTAATTATCAATATCTATAGCAGACAAATTACTTTTTCAGCACTAAATTTTGTATGGTCAGCATGTCAAATAATATATTTTAACAAAAAACATACCGCCATAAGGAAGGTAAGTCAAATGTAACAATCATTGTTACTGTAGTCAGCCCAGAGGTCCTTCGCATTACCTTTAGAAATATCTCATCGTGTGTGTAATTTGAAAAGCCTTAACTTGGTAAAATGGACACCTTCTAAAATTACTCATTTATCTAAATAAGCATATATTTGTGCAGGAGTCATACTGCTTCTAGTAGACACTAGATTATAACAGATTTTGCACGTTACACTAGAGAAATACAATTTTAAATTTTCTTTTGTGCTTCAGATGTCTCCTGAAATTACTGGAATTACATCAGAGATGTCACATGTGAGAATACCTTCTTCCACTTCTGTTGTTGCAGAGGCAGACAGTCAGATGGAGAGTAGGGCAGCAAATGCTTCAAATAAGGAAATTAACATTCAGTGGTACATTCCTTCTCTGGCAAAGCCATCAAACGATACAGAGACTAAGGTATAACTACACCAAAGCAGTTCCTTAGGTATTGGAACAAATTAAGTCTCATTTCAATTAATATTTGTGTTATGACTGATCAGCTTTTTAACTGAATTATAACATAGGCTGATTGGCAAGCTGGACAGCAGGGAGCTATATATTTACTCTGCCACAAACCTACTATGCAAGACAAACAGAATGACCTGACAGTTTTTTGGTTGCAGGCCAAAGAAAGACTTTGTTGACCATACAGAGCTTCCATGCCATGTTGCATTCATGCTTTTGATGCCTTTAAGACCTCCACTCTGTTAAGTTTGGTTAGAGCTGACCAATACATTCAAACAACACTGTTTGGTGGGAGGCTGTTGTAAAAACAGAGGTACACACATACAGGGAAAATGGGATTTTGTAAACCTCCTTTCCCTAAGAAAGCAGACTACACACGAACTATGAGAGAGATTGGAGGGTTGCAGAAAAGGAAGAGACTAGGACATGGAATTTGGTTTATTTTTAAACGAGAACAGCATGTAGGTAAAATTTTTGCTACTGCAGTAGAAATCCATGATCTCCAAACTTTTTGGCATAGCAGATCAGTGTTAAAATTTCTGCTAGACCCTTTTCATCTCTATTTAGTAAGCTGATAGAAGCCATGTGGACTTAGTGAAAATAATGTACTTTTCAATACAGTTTTGCAGGTTACTTTAGCATGACCTTAAAGATCATTAAAGATCCAAAGACAGCTCTTGAAAATGATGAAAATATGAATGCCGTATTCTTGACATTCTCCATATAGTCAAAATATTCAGCTACCCCTAGGAAGCATATTTTCAATAATAACAGCAAATTAATTCAGTGAAAGATAAGAACATTCTATTTAATTTTCTTGTGCTCTTATATTCATTCAGCTTTATTAGATTGGTGAGTTATGTGCACTTCATGCATTTAAAACTAGTATGATGACAGCCATGCACAAGGCCATATAGCAAATGTAACTAATTACATAGGGCCTTTGGAAATTCAGTAAAACTCTCTGTTCAGCCTACCTGAAACTGGAGCATAAATGGGATTGATTGATGAGGATCAGGACAAGACTGGGATTTTGATGGTGACTCTATAGGGTATAATTAATTTTTAAACCTGTATAAATTATAACCATAATTAAATTGCTTTAACACCTATAAAAACAGTATAGTATTATAGGAGGCCACACTCCCCCTTTTTTGAAAGTCAGTTATCTAAGTGTTCCTTAGTACACTGTATTTGATCATTACAATCTACTACCACTGAAATAGCTCAGATATACTATACCATACTGCATTATAGCTTACCTATTCCATCTCTTTTACAGGTTTTGCTGCTTTATGCTTATAATACAAAGCCTGTCAAGATTAGCAACATGAAGATTTTCAATTCAGTGTCTACATTTTCAGGCCACTTGTGGATTCCATTGGCTAGGTAAATAATCACTGACTTTGTCCTGTAATTTCATGCTATATTAAAGATCACTCAACCATTTAGGATGAGAGAAAACAAAGTACAAAATATCAAAGAGCTGTAAGTCTTTAAAAGCATTCATTTTCACTTTTCAGAGATTTTTCACTATAAAAAACTGTAAGATGTTGTACACAGTTGCACCCATCCAAACATATGCCTTTTCAGCCCATCAGCATTTTAATTTTGACTCTTAAAGAACTGAACAACACATGCTAATTGTATTATATTGGCATAGCAACATAAGAAAACGCTAAGAAATCTAAGGAGCATTCGCAGCAGTTATTCCCATTCTCTCACTGGATCAGCTACTTTCTCCGTCCCGTATTACAACTCTGATTATGCAAGACTTTTTCTCAGTTGTAGCCCCAGACTCAGCCCTTCATTTTAGATCTTATGGTATTTTTCATTACTTCTTCCTCGTCATTCATCTAGCCCCAGAATTTTTGGAACTGCTGAGGAGGTGGAAGGGAAGGCATACTGGGCCAAGAAGAGTTGCAGCCCCTGCTATCTAGCTTGTCAGCCTACCTTGTGCTGGTTTGATGAGAAAATCTTTACTTAGAGAGGCATACTTAAAATACTTCTTATAATTTTTAATGCAAAAGCCTAATGCACTCCATATTTCCACTTTCTTTAATTAAGTACTTCTTTTTGTAGAACTATGAGATCGGTCTTGAAATGAAACAAAACATAGAACCTAATCAATACATAATAAAAGCTAGGTCAGTTTAATTATAACATGGAAACAACAAATATTGTTATATAATGAAAAAAACTGTGTTCTTTCAGAATTATTTCTTTACGGGAGAAATTATCTGATCTGAAGCACCAAGTTGAAATGTTGATGCAAAGTTCTAAAAGCTTGTCTTCAGCTTCAGAACCTACAAGTTTTCTTGAACAAAGTGAAACCTTGAAAATAATTCCTTCAAAAGAAACCAAAATGAATGTTACAAAAGTGCATCTTGATGAAAAAACAGAAGTAAGTGAGAACATTTCTGCTTTTAAATATGTCTGACAGTCTTTTATTTAAGATGTCTGTTTTGGGGAAATAAATGACAGATAACTTGGAAGGCAGACATAAAAGATTAAACTTCCCTCACCCCTTTCAAGAAATGTTGAAATATTTTCACTTTTCATTTAATATTTAACTTTTCTTTTTCCTTATATATTGCTTGTCACTTTACAAAAATATCAGGCATTTTCAACCTTCCACGTGAAAATAAAGGCTACCTCTTCAGGTACATAGATTTGAAAATTGATACCTAATTTATAGTAATCTACATCTGAAAATTCTTGGCAATGTGTTAAATTAGCATGGCGACAAACCCCAAAGTGCTTTTTAAAAATCAGTTACACATCTTCAGTGCAAAATGGGCAGTGATGGTTTCTGAAATAAGAACCTTCTAATAATGTTCTTGAGAGAGGACTAAAACTGGCAGTGAATTTATTTTCATTTTCTCTACATCACCTTCCTCTTTTCTTTTTATTAGCAAGGCTGAATATGCTCCGCAGTCAAATAACTCCTCTCCCATACACACACAAAAGCGGTAATTTCTGAATTTTCCATGTGGTCTGTTTGAGATAATGTCATTGGAAAAGAATGTTGCCACAGCATAACTGCTGCTTGATAAATGCCAAGGCAAAATAGACTTTTATTTTCAAAGTGGGAGACATTTATCATGTGACAGGATTCTCTTTATATCTATTATATGAAATGATTAATGATGTAGAGGCTGTCATTTTGTCTGATGGATGCTGTGAAACAGTGACAGTTGTGCACTGTGCCATTATTACGAGGCTGTATTCTGAGCAGCTTGGAGAACAAATGATGTTTTGGCCAATCACAGTGCTTTCAGGAGGGTAGACATTGCTGTCCTTTAGTGGGTGTTTCTGATTACCTGAAGGGTTTTGCTCAAACTTTCATTAATATATGTCACAAATTGGAAAAGCAATGTTTAGAATACTGAGATTAACATGCCATGCATTATACAATTTATAAATATCATCTTGTCAGAATGTTTGTTTAGAATGTCTTCGGTAAACACATAGCACAAGTATGCTTGCGCACTGGATTTAATACCTGAGCCAGGGGCAATGTTACCTCAGTAGGAACTGCAAGGTTTGAGCACTTGGATTTGTACAGCAAACACTACTATTTATGTTGCAGAAAATTTATATTAATTGGCTAAGGTTTATTTTGCTGTGAATAGAATAACCTAAAACTTGATTGTTCTGAAAAATTTTGTAAAGCCAAGCCATTAGCTTATCAGAGAAGACTGATAGTACATCATTAGTTTTTTCTTGTTTTATACCATTAGGAAATGGCTAAAACTCATTTATCTGAAGTCAAAGAACTGCTGTCTGCTGTTCCAGCCCTGTCCTTACCATTAACTGAGGTATGCTATTTTCACTAATAGTAAAAATCCGTTTTCTAAAATAAATATTTTTTCAGTTAAACCGAAACATGGATTATACCACTAAGTATCTTCCATTTTTTTCTCATACATTATTGGGCTTTCTGTTTGGGCTTTATTTTTTCATCTTTACAAATAAAATACAAATGTGCATGATTACAAACTGTGACTATCTTCATTGTTCGTTACAATCACCTTTTTCTGCGTACAAAAATGTATTAAAAATGAATCTCACTCACAATGGGTTCATCTGGTTTATCCACCATCCTCTGGTCATTGTTTACAGAGACCCCAGTGAATTTCCATGATGCAATTGCCAAATGCAATTTCCTTCCATCCCAGTATTTTTACAGTTATTCAGGCTTTCCTTCTGTTTTCTTTAGCTTTCTCTGCCTTGCCTATGACATGTCCTGAGAGATAGCATGCTATTTTTTGGCCATGCTGTTGTATTTATCTATTCGCCAGTTGTAGTCAGTATCCCAGAGGACGCTTGGGGAACTGGCCAACATTGGTCAGTAGTTCTGTTCAGCATTCACAGCCATCCTAGGGGGATCAGGAGAGGACCACAGCTGCCAGGGCTCAAGGAACTCCAAGGAAGATTTTGGAATCCACCATAATATATCACCCCCCCTACTAATGCTCAAATATCTTATCTGTAATCTTAATAACCTGTAATATCTTACCTCAGATATCTTACCTGTTCACAGTGGAATGATAATGGATAAGGCATCCACTGCACTCTTCTTTTCCAGTCAGGTAGCTCTTCCTACCAGAAGAGAATCCTGAGTTTTATCTGTGAACAGTTTGGCTGGTGGCCTATCATAGAAGAGAGAATCTGTAATGCTGCCCTGTGCATCCTGCAGTCTGGTACCTAGGAGTACGTCTTTCCTTCCCTTTTACACATACTGCACCATTCTTGCCACCCGTTCTTATCCATCCTGAAGCTCTCTCTCCAATGACTTCCAGACCTTCATATCACTCAATCTGGCTTTATCAATGCATCAAAATACATAGACGTTCATTCTGCAAAGCTATACTTCTCACAGTCCTACTGAAATGCCTTCCATGGTAGAGAGATTTGACAGATAGCTAGGGAAAGGTGCAGACAAACTTTCTTAGACTCACATGGACCTCCTGGACCTGTTTTAAATTCTCATTAACCCCTCCTCACTTTGCATGCTTCTTTCTTTGGGTCTACGATGAAAGTGAGGGAGCAGATTTAGTGGTGTCCTTCCAGTAAGAAAATGATGTTAACTGCTCTGTTTTATTCCGGCTAAATGCCACAAGAAACTAAAATGTTTCAACAGGTGGAACACTGGGCTTTTCATCACAAAGGTTCAGATAGAGACTTCAAACTAAGATCCTGTTAGATATGGCAGATTTGGTTGAGCAAGCGAAGCGTAATTCTTCAAGATGCTGAGTTATCTTCATTCTTTTCTGAAGCCAACAGAACTTTTGGAGGGTTCAGCACTGCATTATGTATAGCGTATTTCTAAGTAGCATTTCCAAACTTTCAAATAAGTTGTATGTGCATGTTACCCAGTCTTCTTGGTTAGAGGTGGAAAGCTCAGAGTGGGATGATGTATACTGTAGGGTAGTACATTCCCTTTCTTTTCAAGCATTCAGGAGAAGGCAGCAGATACATTGCTTATATGTAGTTTTACATCAATTTTCCCCACCACACACTTTTTTTTTTTTTTTTTTTTTTTTTTGCTCGTCTTCTTGTGAATTAATTGGACAAAGTTCTAATTTCTGGTATTTGTTTTCTCATTCTCTGAGCTGTCACAATTTAACTCCTATCATGTTTCCAGCTTCTCTTCTTTGATTCTCTTTTTTCTGTTCATGCGTCTTATGGTGCTTTTGATTCAGCATTGAATTACATTTCTAAGTGGAAAAAGTGCATTTTTATTGAATTATTCATTTAAAAATTTTTGACTGTTCATGTTCTGAGAATAAAAATTGATCAGCCAGCTTGTTTTTGAAGTTATTTAATGAATAGCTATGTTCTTAAGGGAGATCATAAAACTTGGGGCCTCCCAATCTTAAAAGTAAATTTATAAATAAAATAATTACATTAAAAGTTAACTTCACTAGATAGCCTGTTCCAAGCTTCTCTTCCTTTAGTTAGTTTTTCTTAATATCTAAATCAACTAAATAGTTCTCCATGTCCAAGGGACATACAAACTAGTTTATCATTGCCCTCTGTTTCACCTTTTACAGTTAGCTCAACTCTTTAGACTTTTCATCTTAGGAAAAGCCTTCCAAACTACTAACCATTCTTGCTGCTCTTGTCTGATATCTTCATTCTACCCACAGACAATCAGGAGAAACTTTGCGAGCAGGACTGTTCACAGAAATGTCCTCCCCTTAATCCTGCTTTACTGCTTTCCTGCAAGAGATGTCATTAATCATGAATTTATATTGAGGCAATGACTATTTCTAACTTATTTATTGGTTGTAGGTCAGAAATCTGGCTTTAATATAATTGTATTTGTATATATGTACTTTTTGGTACCTATAAGCCTAATAAACTTATTTGTTTGTTTTTTTTTTTCCTCTTTTTTTCAGATCCCATTTGATGTTACTTTACAATCAATAGCAAGTTTGGAAGATATGTTTGATCTTGCCAATGGATCTATAATAACTGAAGAAAGTCTTTTCAATTGGCTCATTTCCCTGTTTCACTAAATTCTATTTTTGCAATAACTTAATTACTTGCTGAGTGCTATAGATTTAGCCTTAACTTCTGGTGTTAATGAAACAACCTCATTAATCACAACAGGATTTGGCTCCTAATGTGTCTTATAATTTTAATTTTTAACTTATTTCTAATTATTTAAAAATTAAAATACATTTTTAGGAAATAAATGTATTAAAAGTAGCTTCTTAATAAAAGGATTAAGATTTTGATTTATTCAGTCATCTATAATTAAGTGAGTTTGTTGGGGGTTTTCTAGCTTTTAAATAATTTCTTATTGTTTAGAAAAGCTGAATAGGCTTGTAGACTTCTAGCATCCGCTAATAGATACTGCTTTTTCCCTGAAGTTTTAGTCTCATCAGCAATTTTTTTAATTGATTTTGCAGTTATCAAAAGTTAGTTTTATTTTTGAGGTTGAGAATTTTTTTTGGCTTAAAATTATCACTGAGTTTGTTCTTTTACACTCCGTTTGAAAAATAGCATTTCAGACTTCTCTATCTTTTGTTAAAACACATCACAAGTTGTTGAGGATAAAAATGATCATTCAGATGGCTCCATAATTTCAAAGCATTTGTCTGAAAAAAAAAACATTTTAGAAATAAAATGGTACTATATAAAACATTTTTGGACATCATTCTAAAATGCTAACAAAACCTCTGTTTATGTTGTCAATGTAAATATTACTGTTAAGTACTGAAGAAACCCAAATGAGTCCTAACAACAGCACCTGAGGAAATATGCTTGTCCAGTGTTAGAGATGGACAATTTGACATGTCAAAGTGAGTTGGTTGAACAAGGCTGCACAGGAGAGTGCAGTAAGACTCAGGACTGAGAGTTCATGGCCCTTTGGTTTTGGTCACATCACAAGGCCATGCACTTCTTCACTAGTTAAAATAATTTATTTGCAACAAACGTCAGGAAAAACAGGCTCTGTCAGACTTGTCCTGGCACTAGCTATGCATCTGTGTAGCCGTGAAAATCCAGGACTCATAGTTACCATTCCTGAGTTCAGTTTCTGTGAAAAATAAACTATTGGGTTGAAACAGCAGCCGCTTTCGCTCAGTCAGGTTCTCACTGTGCCATAGTCCAGTGATAAAACAATAAAATATTTTGAGCTGTTTGGAAATTGTAGATTTACCTTGGCTTGTGCTTTTCAGATAAATGTTACCTGGTTTATCAGTGAAGTTTCTTTTACAGAAGGAGAGAGAGAGGGGTAAAAGATTCAGCATAATAAGTATTTTAAATGGGATCAGTAACAGGAAGAAATGGGTAAGTTTTCTGCTATTTTTCTTTATTCCTATAAAAGAAAGAAGAGTGGATGTATTTGTGTTATGTGTAGCTTTTTTAAAAGTTGTGATATTTTTTGTGTAGCCTTTTCTGGAATGCTGTAGGTACTAGAAAAATTAGAAGGATTATCATACAATGATACAAAAGAAAGTAAAAACTGAGTAAATGATAGGGAAGGTATTTTTGCAAGACAATTTAAAACTGAGTTAGAATGGTTATTTAACTCAACTGCCTAACAGCCAGTTTGGAGGACATACTCCTTAGCATTATTCTTTCAATTAAAATAATTTATTGTTCTGCAGTTCTTCAAAAAGCAGGAGAGATAAAAATGGACATAACTCATTTTTCTTTTACAAGGAACAAGTAGAAAATTGCAGGGTTTTTTTTTTTTTTTTTTTTTTTTTTTAAAAAAATTTTTGTTGACTTTATAAAAATTATAAAACCTTTCTTTTTCTTTTTGGGGTCACTTTGAAGATTATCAGAGGACTTTTGTGCAGCTTAATATTTGTAAAACATTCTATAGCATCAGGTGAAAATGGAAATAAAGTTCTGTTACAGACAAGGTGTTTCTTCAGTGCTGCCAGTCTGGACCTTGTTTATAAATTCCATACTTAGAAGAGAAATAGTAAATAAAATGCTTTACATATGAATTAAAAATACATTACACTTTCTAAGATATTTTTGTTGAAACAAAAGTATTATCCTACCACGTCCTTTAACACAGCACAGTAAAATTCTTATGTTGAAATGTTGACCTCACTGTATCCATAGCAGCAGATTTTACTCTCATAAACACACGATTAAGTATTCAATGCAGGTTTCAGAGGGAAACATTGGAGAAAACATTTTTCTTTTAGCATATAATTAAACTCTTTAGTTAAAATCTGCTTGTAAGGAAGAAAGCTCATATCTAAATGTCTCCAGTAATTGCACAGGAAAAAAAGTATAAAGCTAATTGCGAAGTAAATTGCTTCTTGTTCTATGTATTATAGTAGTCTGGGTGGGTTTTTCCTTACCATTGAATGCAGACTAAAGATTTCAATATGTGAGACTAGAATAAATTTGTGTCAGCACCATGCTCAATTAAATTTCTGTAGAATACTTGTCTGTGTCACTGTCTCCAAAATTAAAAAGGAAGAGGGGAAAGGCACCTTCTCTGATTTCACAGTCTGAAGTGTAACAGAGGGCCCTCCTGCGATGTGAAGGTCTGCTCTGTGATCTGCCCTGTACACCACCACCAAAGGGCTACTTACCGCCTCGACAGCTTTGAACCACTGGCATGTTTACTGATTCTTTTCAAATTTTAACAGAAATGTTTCTCCATTCCACCTCTGTGAAAGGAACAGATAGTGTTTCCCTATCTGATAAGTTCTGGGATGGGGCAAGGGCTGGGAGAGAGAGAAAGCACTGTGGGGATAAATTGAAGGGATTCTGAAATGAATGACGTTTTATCTTCAGTGCACCCCCTGGATGAGGGACAAGAAGGATCCTACAGGGAACTAAAGAACAGTAAAAAGAGGGTTTTTAAAAAAAATCCCTTTGGTATTGTCTGTTCTGTGAACTGAATGAAGTAAGCTTCCTGAGAACAAAACCAGCTTCTGGTCCCGTAATTAATAACTGTATCATCAAGAATGTGCTAGGGCTCAAACTGAAATTGAACAGGGAGCTTATCATTGACCAGTCTGAATGGGTCCTTGAGTACTTAATTTTTCAAATACTGTTTCAATATAGTTTTAAGTTATATTACTGCCTTGATAGAGAGTTGTATATTTAAGGCATTCAAAGGATTTGTCTCATGCCTACAAATATATAGCAACCTGAAATTATTTCTGGTTAAATTAATTTTATGATGTGGAAATTAGTAATTTCATGCAGATTTATTCAGTTGTATGTGACTGTTTTTTAAATTCCAGTACAGCTCCAACTCACGCTCATTTTTTGTTTGGCCTAAGTATTTATCCAGTTTTTGGATGACATCAATCTAACAAAATAATCCTAGTAATTAGTCATATTATGCCTCAGTTTCTTTATCTGAAAATAACAGTAATCCCCTCATCAGTGAGGGATTTGGAGTTTTCTGCACCAACATTTGGAAAATATTTTCAGATCCTTGAATGAAAGAGGCAGGGAATTTAAGTTATTATTCATTTGAGACACAATGTAAAAGGGATAGTCATTTGTTTCCAAATCCATTTTCACTGAAATCCAAGAAGAAAGATTTTTAAGAAGAAGAACGATGGAACTAGAATTAATTGTTGGAATTACAGGCTAATATGCTGAACTAATTAAGCCAGCAAAGAGTTCCATTTATGTTTGCCAAAGATTTTCTTTGAGTTAAAGATACTGAGTACATCATCAAGTGAAAGAAGTGAAAATATGAAGCATAGGTTAATCTTTAAAATAGAGTGGGTGAAAGGGTCCAGAGGCAAGTGCTGAAGTCAAATATTTACCACTGCAATTTAATTTTCCACTTTGAAACCCCAGAGATAATTAGAATTATTCAAATTTGTCTCCGATGTCAGCATGATTTAGGATTCTACTTAATGTGCAAAGAAAAAAAAATGCATGTTGAAGCAAATTACACAAAAAATCTCAGTGTCACACTGTGGAAAACCAGACTGTGCTACATAAGAAATAATCACAAGGTGATGGATCTGGCTTAATTGTGTGTCTGGGCTGTTCTCAGGACAGCGGTATGGAAGGGGAAGCTCTGTAAAGACTCAGTGCACCTTCAGGGTTGGTTTAGCTCCTAACCAGACATCCAGATTCAAAAGAACATTTCATCAGCCACCAAAAAATAAGAATGCCCTGGGCAAAACTCCGTGCTTCTTGGCAGTCATGTTCATTGCACCGACACCTGGGCGGAGGGGAGGTTGGCATAGAAGCCTCTAGTGTGGGTTTTCCAAATGTGGGACCTGCAAGTGCTTGACAGCTCTCGTGGCTGCTCTGCAGTGCACGAGCAGAATGAGGTCTGTGCTTCATGCTTCACTCCCCTTGGGTACTGGCATTGTGCAGCTAGAATGTGGCATAGCTAGAGGTAAAAATCAAGATTGTGTTTATCCTATAGGATTACTGTGTACATCTCATTATCATACAGCATGTAGTGTATTAATTAGTTCTGTTACGTTCTTATGATTCCACCACCAAGTAGAATAATACCAACTATTTCAAAACTGCTTTAAAGAAAATTATAACCGTGAAGAAATCCGGGTTGTTTTTTCCCCAGCATCCTGACTGGTCTTACCCCCAGGAACTCTGTGTTTTATCTTTCACAACCTAGTCTCACTGCTGCTACATTGTTGAAAACTTTGTTTATGGGCAAAGAGGAAGCAATGTATGTTTAAAGCCAAAAATTTATTCGTATAACTGAAATCTTAGCCTAAGTTAAGAATCATTATTAATCCAGGTCTAATTATTATGGGAAAAGAAAGAATACTTCTGTGCAGAAAAAGTTTAAGTAATAACAACAGTAATAATAGCAGTAATGCAGTTAAAGTTATGATATAAACTATTTTTATCCCTCTTCACTGGTGTAATCCTCACACTTCCGCTGCTCTGCTGGATCTGAAGGTCAGTGCTTGAGTGTGTGTGTGCGTGTGTGTGCGTGTGTGCGCGTTGTCAGGGCAAGTCATCATACGTGGGCTCAGGGACCCGGAGGAATACGATGTTTTCTTCTCCCTCACTCTAGGATCAATTTGGGGTAATTTTTATACATTTAACACTCTTTTACACCTTGCTCTTTCTTCATGGGTTTGCAGTTCCATGTTACATCTAAACTCCGTATGCTGTTTTACATGTGTTATGTACTCACATTTAGTTCTCTTTGTTACCCATGAAAACTGGTTTTCTCTGGCACAAGGTCTGTGAGTCTTTAGCTAATAGTGAGTCATTTGTAGCTGTGGGGTCTTCTCATTCCACGCCTGTGCTCCTCTGCTGTGTCCTGAGCCTCCATTTCTCACAGCCTTTGCTGTCCCACCCAGACTGCATTGCTCTACACTGCGTCATTGTGTCAGTTGCAATGCAACTACCATCTTTTTTTTTTTTTTTCTCAGTGGTAGGAACTGTATTGGGATTTTTAATCTGCTTTAAAATCTGAATGTGCGTGGAGCAGAAAGCTTGATGAAAGGAGTGCATCCTGCACTTGGAAGATGGACGTTCTTTATTTCCTGGTGGAAGGCTGTATGAAATCATTAGTCCCAGGCTGTATATTTGGCTGAGATTCCCAGAGATGGGCTGATCTGCCTCATTTGGAAAGCTCTGTGAAGAGGATTTCCCTTCCACCTGCAAGGCACAGTTTCCCACCAAACCAGATGTACCTGTCTCAGGTGTGAGGGAACTTTCCCCAGAAATCTCTTTTACAGCGTTGTACGATTGCTTGGAGTGCCCCGCTGCATGCAGGAAGCCTTGTCAGCAACAGTGCCGCTCTGCTTTAAGAATTGGGCTTCTTGCTGCTGTCCCTTCCCCAAAGACAATACACCAAGGTAGTTTCTTATATATACCAAGAAAAAACACAGCACAGTCACTGGCATAAAAAAATGCTAACAAAGGTCCTAGCACCAGGAAAAACTGATTTAATGTAGGGGGTGTCACAGAATTAAGCAAAAAAATGCTAGTCATGTTTATTTAAAAAATCTGAAAATTTCTAATCATCCAACTTTGAGGATTCAGGGCTTGCAAGGCAGGTATTCACCCACCTGTCTGTAAACACAGTTATGCTCCACACTGAGGAGATAAAGAAAACCAGAGGCTACTGTTAAGAAAAAGCTTTTGATTCCGTGTATTGAAGACAGAACAGAATAATGACTATTGGCCTTAGCAGTGAAACACAATTGGTTTAAAAGCAAATTAGGACAATAAAGAGGAGTGGGGGTAGAAGTCTTGTAGGAATGCTGTAGGTTCCCTAACTCTAGGATATCTGACAGATGATATAAAATATGACTAATGGCGGATAGGTGCAAATAATGGCATTTTGTAAAACTGTGACATGAGTTCCTTTCCTGAGTTCACTTATACAGACTAGAGCTGAAAGGAACTTGGAAAATCAGAACTCCGTTGCAAAGGAAAGTGAACGGGGCATTTCAGACCTACTGATTCTGAGGGCCATACACAAAGTAGACTAATTTGAAACCAGATCTCTACAGAACCACTTAGTTTTGCTACAGTTTTCATACCTAATATCCCTTTAAAGACAATATTTTACTAAATAATTTTATACTTAGGTTTAGAAAGTAGAGGCAGTGAAAATACATATTACCTCTGAGGAAGTGCTAGCTTTCATTTTACCAGATGAAAAAAAAATAAATCTCTCCTTCTATAAAATTCAGCACGACCAGAGTAACAACTGTATTCCGAGTCCGGATACAGATGCAACAATTCTCAGTGCCTTGATGTTACTGGAAGTAAACACAAAGGGTGTAACGGGGTATGTTACAAACAGGTATGTTGTTAACATGAAGTCTGTAATTAAAACCAGACTTGAGCTGACAGGTCCAAATCAGGAACTTCTCGAGTGTATTTGTTACCGCTATTTATTATGGTCTGTCAGCAGGATGTCCCAGTGACGAACACGGACTGGGACAGCTGTGCGGGGTGCTTTTTATTCAGTACCGAAAATCCAGCCCTTCCTCCAAGGTTACCATTTCCAGGGTGGCAGATACCAGATTCGGTGCCCCTCAAAACAAACCTCCTGTGGAGCGCGGGATTTATTCCTTAACACCCGGGTGGCGCCGGCTTCCTCCAGCAGCCTCCAGGGAG